GGGGGATTATAATAGCTGAAATCTTGGAAGTAGTTAACTGGATTTGAATGGTGCAATGAACGCCATGACCATACACATCTATCTTTTGTAGGGAAAGGAAAATATATTTCTAATTAATGAAAGAACTTGAACTTGCAGATTAATTCAACAAAATAATTAGATATAGCCTGTTTAACGTCTTTATCAATTCCACCAGAAACACGATATGTAGGCCTATTTCACAATTGGCTTACAATACGATATGTTATTCTCCCTTAGGCCTATCCACCCCCACCCCCCCGAAAAAACAACAACACACAACAACAAACAACAAACAAACAAACAAATGCAACAAAAGAAAGTTAACATATACGAACATATTAATCATGACAGATTAGTAGTAGCCTACTAGATCTATAGGACTAATAAACCTGCTTAGTTATTAATTACAAGATTACTTGTGTGTTATGGTAGTGGTACCTTTAAATCTAAACAGTAAACAGAACTCAGAACTTATTACTCTAGACTAGATATCAAGATGTAGATTTCAATTACAATGAATTAATTGAGCCCTTGACATCCCTATTCGAAAATTAATATGCTTATGTAACTGAAAAGAAACATGTTTGACAGTTTACCTCTGATTTTGAAAGCTGTTATAGTATTCACAACAGCTGCATTGGTGGTGGCCTACTATATTTTTCTGTGAACGAGGTCACATAAGGCAGCAGCCATTTTGTTACTAACTACGCTTTGTGGTAACCATGCAAGGTTATACTGGGGTAGTCTATACAAATATTTATAAAATGCAGCGATACAAATACAAAAATATCAGCTGTGCTGAATAATTCCAAGTTTTTAAAATCTGACTTTGTTTGTTAAGTAACAGTTTTACTCATGATATTTCTTAACTAGGAAACATATGTTTCTTTTTATCCCTTATAGCGCCCTAGCAGGAAACCATTTCCTCTCAAAGAATGAGAATGACGTCCCTTTAGGAAAATGCGGAAGGAAATAACTCTTGTTTACAAGTCTATAGATTCTAGTTTATTTTCGTTCTGCCATTTCTGACTTTGACAATTTCTATCAAGACGACAACATCTGATTCTTGAAGTGTCATCAATTTTCTTCGATACTGGAAACGCAAGCAGAATATACTGGTATTTTACCGCCATAACCCTATTCTAAACCCTTTTGTAATAGATCTATCTGTGTTAGCGGGTCTTTTTTCATTTTTATTACCTTGGCCCTTGGCTTTGTCAGTCAGATCATAGTCATAGTGCAAGGCGCAGCAAGGCAAGGACCTGCTTTTTTGTTCTGATTACTTTGACTTTGGCCCAAAGTTTGGGCAAGGGAAACAGTACTTTTAACTAGATCTAGACTTTATTTGAATATCTAACAAACAATAGATATCAACATAACAACTAGATCTAGACTCTAGATCTAGATATAGATCTAGAATCTAGATCTAGATCTATTTTATAAGGCCAAATGTGGAGCTAAGAATGGCGCTTTTTCGGTAGATCTAATCTAGATCTAGATCTAGATCTAGATCTAGATTAGATCTAGTTCCCACCCCGCATTTGTTATTCACGGGTTTTGGCCCTAAAGAATAGGGGGGTTTCAGGGGGGGCTTTTCGGTAGTTCCCACCCCGCAACTGTTATTCGCCGGTTTTGGCCCCAAGAGTTCTTCCCAGTCCTCGCAGAATGGCAGAATGAAAGGATGACACCTAAATCTCGCAAATAACCAAAAAAATCTCGAGATCGGAAACCGTTCTGAGAAATAGAGTTCAGCTTTATTTTCCCGAACGTTCGGAGATATAGTCACTTCAATGAATATATGCAATAAATGTAGGCCTGTCATGACTGAAGCTCAAAAACACACAAACATCCAGAATTTGCAGAGCTGCAACGAGACCTCCAGACCAGTTTTGTTGGTTAAATTACAATATATATGACACTTTCTTTTTTATTTTGCTCTAGATTCCACAGAAATTATTGTGGGCAGTTTTTGCCCGTGACTCCAGTAACTTGTGAGTGGTCCCAACCAGTGGAATATCTCGATGGTGGTGACGGATTCGCTATTGTTCCCCCCGTCTGCCATGATGAAAGTCCGCGTCACTAATATGAGCGGAGTGGATGCAGTAGCCGAAGTTGGCCGAGATTGGACTTGTGATAAGGTAGCCTACGTGTGTATTACTTCTTTGTAAACGTCTTTTTTACATCTCCTAGCGTGTTTTGTTTTGTCTATCAAATGGACCATTTTATTTGTTGTCACTCGGAGGAGTTTGCCAGTTTTTCATCTTCTCCTCTAACAATTGTTTATGTGTTTTACATTTTCAATGTGCAAAATACACTACATTTATGCACTTTTTCAACCAGACAGCCTAATCTTAAGCTATAACATTCGGGGGGAATAAAAATTTTAAGCTTCTCATCATTGAATCTGTTGTTGTTTTTCTTGTTGTTTTTTTTACCATAGTTTCATGGCGGCTAAGATCCTGCATTTTCATTGCTCCCAAGCACCAGAATCTTAGGCAGAGTGTGCTGCAACTTAAAACAATTTTTTTTCAGTTCACGGCGCACCGGCAGTGGAATTTTAGTTGTAGCAGGGGGCTCCCCTGCGAGCGCCTTATCACGTTGGGGTCACGGGGGTCAGCTCCCTGTGACCGCTCTGTCTAGGCTGACTTCATTTTTGGCACTTTTCAACGTACAGTTTTAGGTGTATCCTTGTATCTATGGTAATTATCATTTAATGCTCCCAAAGCACGCAGTCCTGCTCTTGAGTCCCAAAAAACAACTGACATTGTAACTTGTCTGGTTATTTTGTTAGACACGCTGAAATCGGCAATGCTAAATTGTAAAAACTTTTTTACAAGTGTGAATGAAAAGAAATAAAAAGCACGACAAAAACTGTCGAACTTTTGGAACATGAATGACATAACTTTGGTGCAGATACTCAGAAAAGTTGGTATCTGCGCATATAATAGGAAGCTGTAATTTGCATCTTTATCCATCTGGCACACTATTCGCTATAAAGTAATTCCTCCAAATATAACTTTATGTGTCTTATATAATCGCATATTTTCTCTAAAGTTTATCAAAATTACCCTGATGTCTCTCTGTGAAAAAGTGCAAATCGATTTTAGTGCCAGAATACATCTACAACAATGTAAAACACGAACAGTAGGCTATCAGTCAGTTACACTCCAAAATTATTCCTTATTTTTCTTAAAACACTAGATCTAGGTTTTGAAAGTTGACTGAATAACAGGGATGACTTCTCGTGATTGTATTATAAGAATAATTTCTAGCTTTCCAGTGACACTGAATCAGCACCAGGCTTTTCCAGCTTTTATTTTCGTTTCTATAACCATTTGCAATAACTGACAATGTTCTGATTTCTTTACATTCATAAGTCTCTGCGCATATATGTCCGACACAAAAACTAAGAATGAATGTTAGCTGTCATTATTTTTATTCCATACAAGAAGTTCGTCTCTACCCATGTATTAACACTCTTTTGTGTTTTTAAAAAATCTTATAATATATCTTTCTTAGTTGTATGCAGGCTGCCACAGACACAGCATGATTCATGAACAAACATAGAATCATAGAGTAACTTTCTCTTGTTTAATGGTAGAATAAGAGCTAACACTGAGTGTCTTTAGTTAAAAAATGCAGATGTTCATCTTTCTTCTCTTATAACTTGACTATTACTACTCGCGCAGATTTAAGATTTCTCATTTTAAAAGACATGATATTCGTAGTCAGTTTAACACAGATTTTGGAGAGATCTGTCGTGCCTATTTAAAATAAACAATAATTTATTCATAAGTATGTAACTAAAATAGGACATTTGGGTACTCTACAAACACTTATCTACAACAAAAACTAAGGCACAGAAATTACCCATTCTAATGCAGAATAAATCTCAAGACATTGAGCTTTTAGAACATGCCCGTAATGGTTTGCTGTGTGGAATGGGGAAGAAGTTATATCGTATCAAACGTAGACAAAAAGGTGAACTTCTTAACCGACAGCGGCAAATTAGGTTCAGGGCTCATTGACCCCGAGCCGAGAAGCTCCGGTGGGCTGTTGAGTCACACTAACTAAAGGTAACAGAATCGAACGAAAAGTGACGCTGTGAGTTAAGGACAAAATGTAGTTTATTCTGATACTAGGTTTTCTGTTGAGAAGGCAGTATTGATGAAGGGAGGTAAATATTTATGTTCACTATTATTCATGGTCTTGGGTGATGTTGTGAGAAAGAAGTACAGGCAGCATGATTTCTTTCTGGACACTGGTTTCCTTTCGCTGCTCATGTTTTCTGGTTTTTTGTTGTTCGAACAAGGACACAACTAACCAAATGTGTCACAACACAGTGAAATCAGACGCTCATCAATTTTTTTGTCAATTGGAATTTTTGGTATCATCTTACAGCCTGCTCATTTGTCTTGTTTTCAATAAAAGAAATATCCATTTATCTTAAATAATAATCGAGATATATGGATTGAAGGAGGTGGGGGTCACTTGGTTTCAGAGGTAAAATGAGTCCGAAAATGGCCACCAAAGTTTAGTGACTTCCAAAGCTTTAGAGTCCTCTGAAACTGAAAATTTACATTTTGGGAGCCTTTAATCTACAATTTTCAGTAATATCTTATCTCTTTTAAAATGGACATAACAGGTGTTGAACCAAAAAAATAAAAATTCCATAAAAATTACAAATCAGGAAGGAAAGTGCTGTTTTCTTCTATTTCTTTATATTAACGAGCGCCTGATTTCACCAAGATGCATCACAAATCATTTTTTGTTGTTTCAAGAAAATTTCAAAATATAAGGCCAGTGCTTTCCTTGGTCAGCTTTACTTGAATACTTGGAGGTGTCATCTCTGACTCAGAGGTTGACAGGGTTGACATGTAATGACTGTTCAGCGCTCGTAGTCGCCAGCTGCCATTCAGCTTTGTGACTTGAGCAAAAGTGAAAAATGTCTCATTGGTTAGTAAGATCACAGTTTTCAAAACAAAACCCTACTTCATTGAGGTACAAAACAAGTAACAGGCATTTTTTTAGCGTACTAATAACTAAACGCCTGAAAAAATGATGAAGGAAATTGTGAATTACCTTGATTTCATTTGCTTCATGATCAGGTTAAACTGTCCCTGGAACACTTGCTTGACCGTCCGGCATCCTTGACCGGCCTGGGTTCAGATGCTATGAAGAACTCACTCCATTACAAACTGGTGCTTGTCCGATGTGGGAAGACTTTGTCCAACGATCTCTCCATAGGCCAGCAAGGGGTTAAAGATAACGGTCAGTTGGTCGTTGCTATTGTAGAGACGTAAATATTTTACTTCCACATCAACCTACACAGTTTTGATCGTAGGTGGCTTCAATCAGAGATCCTATTCATGAGAATTTGACAAGACTCGCTCAGAAACTAAATAAATAAGAAACACAAGTAATAGAAAAGTGAAAATGAAAAAGTTTTTTTCTTTTTTATAATGAGACACTGTCTGAGATGACCACTTTTCTCTTCGACAATGGGTGGTCTTCTTGGACAGGTCCAACAGTATAAGGATTGTATATTCTGTGTCAGCTGTGTGTTTTAAGATGACTTAAGTCAATTTGCTTTGCTAAATGATTGGTTTTGAAAATAAAACTTATGCAGTAGGCAAAAAAAATGTTAGTGCGTTTTACAGTACCCGCAACTAACTGAGGTCATTTATTGCTTGGCATAACTGAGAATGATAGTTATCTGGCCTGTCTCTCATGCATAAGTCGCTACCCTAGAGTTACAAAGTTCCTTCTGCTCAGTGCCTAGTTTTGAGAAAATTTGACGTTAAAAATTGTGAGACTCACAACATGTCTGGCTTTTTCAAATGCAGTTGTTTGAATATCTTGATTATGATTTTGATTGGGCCGATAGAATTTTTGGTTTCTGACATCATGGTCATAGTAACTCAAAAGGCCAAAATCATACTCAGTGTTTGGTTTTCTTAAGTGGTACGTCTTTGTATTTTTGCAGATGAATTGCTCTTACTGAAAAAACGACCAGACGTTCCTTGTATAGGAACAGACAGGCAGGTAAGATCTGTTCCTTTTTGTTGTTACTTTATTATAATAATTACCATAATGATGATAATCATAGTCATGATACTGATCATAATAGTAATCATGATAAAAATGATGATCATCATATCATAATATTGCTGATAATAATGATATCAGATGCCATTTATTTAGCTTTATATCCTCTAGAAAGTAGGCTCTCTGCATTCTGCAATTTGATATATCACTGTGAAGGGTGTTTGCTATTTTATGTCATTACATACTTATGGACGCTGCCTTTTACGTTCTGGTTGTATTCAGAGAGAAGACAAGAAAGTTGCAGACATAGCAACGATACGTAAAGCCACTGCCCATCTGGTGAAGAAACACCATGAACAGCCCGAAGAGGAGGCGAGCTCTAGTCTCGATGTGAGTGACATTTATGGAAGAACTTGCTGAATTGACCTCTGCCCCTTGCGAAACTTACCATTGATTATATCGTTTATAGTGATGGTGTCAGGCACAAATGGAACAACTATATAATTTTCTGACACCCGATTTTTTTTTTTACCATATTGTAAAGCAGGATCAAATGCATCAACTCAATAAATAGTGTACAAATTCAACGGATAGAAATGCATTTTTAAAAATGTCAGCGTAAAATTTGAGTTGAAGTGGTCATTGATAGTACACTGATACTCAATTAGCACTTGATGTGGTCACATCATGTTTCTACTTGCCTTTTATGATTTTTAAAATCATAGGATGACTTCCTTTGTTCCAACACCGACGTACCATTCCCATTCTTTTGGTTTTTCATTTTATCAGTTTAGCTAGATTCATTCAGATTTTTTTTTTAAGTCGGATATAATGCGGGCTATTAATATTTTCTAAAAACCTCTTGTGTCCTCCTCCACTGTCCCATGAATTCGTTTTAAATTGAAAGTTACACAGTAATTTTATGATTATCCTTTTTCTGTAACTCTTGTTCCTGATTTAGTTTCAGAGTGAACTACGTCGAATTCTCATATCTCTGATCGAAGCCTCGCAACGCATCCTGTGTCTCAACCCAGAAGCTGCCAAGATTTTTCAGCAAGCTGAGGGTGTGTACTGGCTTTTGCATTGTGAGGGAAAAAATTGAAGATGCTTTAAGTGTAGAGGGCTAAAGAGGCAGATGTAGACCAAGGATGAGTAACGAGGAAAATACGGGGATAATGTAGGATTTTTAGAGAGCATGCAAGCGTCATAATAAATGGAAGACCATGACTGCCAATATCTGTTTAAGACGTGGCACTTGAAAAACAAAGTTTTGTATTGTTGTGCGAGTTGAGCAAATTTTCAGGAAATCATTCTCACGGTAAGAGTGTAACACCATCAATTTACAATCGATGACCCCAGAATATATAATTCTAACTCAGTTACTCTCACTTTTGAGACACAGGAGACCTTGTTTAACAAAAAGTCATTTAACATGAAATTCATGTTAATTTGGAAGAATTTCAATTCCCTTTTTACCTCATCTTTATTCTTTGCAACTTCCCTTAACATAATAAAATAAATTCCTGCAAATCTGGTAAGCATGAAGGAATTTTGAACAATTTCATCATTCCTCCCAGCTGACCCCCCTTTTCCCTTTTTCCTTTTCACTCACAGTAGCCTTCCATTGTCAAGAGGTATCACACAATACTCTTTCAATGGGCTAAGACAAAACACAACTCCCCCCCCTCCTCCCCATTTGAGTTTTCTGTCCCTCTTCCTGTCTGCAGCGATTGGTGATAGAGTGGCTTTGGTACATGAGACAGAGAGATGAAGCACTGATGCTGTCAACTGTCCTTACTTTGAGGGGAACGTCCTGTTTTTTTAAAAGAATTTTTAGATTAGCTCTTTAATGTGCAGTTTCAATTTATCAATTTCATGTTTTATTTGTTATGTTCTTAAACTACGTAGTAGGATAGATATCCATCTAGTATACAGCTACAACCTTCCTTGAACCTCATTCTGTGCGCTGAAGGCATCTGTCTAAGGTTGAAAATAAGTTTTTGAATAACTTTTTTTTCATTTCCAAAGGTTACCAGCTCTGAGTGTGTTATTAATGACTTTAAAAAATAGGTTATGTGAAGCTAAGCATTTGATCTTGTTTGTAGTTCTGGCTGCAACAAACGATTAGAAAGGAGTCACCTATTCTTTTTAAAAATCTCTTCATTTACATTCTGCTAAACATGAAGAAATTTTCTGGTCCGATGAAGTTCATGTTATCAAGTGTTTTGAATTCAAAGTTTTTGTACACTTTTTTCACAGCTAATTAAAACCTGTAAATGCTTTGCCATATCGACAGACTGAAGGGCTAGAACCCAAATGGCTGCTGGATCGGAAAAGTAAAGTAAAGTAAAAGTACACTTTGTCTCCCTCAAATTCAAATTAAGAATGAAAATAATGTGACATGGATTTTTCCCAGGTAATAAAGAAATACAGGTCGCAAACTTTTATATGTGATGTAGAGGGAGCACAGGGTAGGTTTTAGACTCTCGAACTACAAACACTAACAATTCCGACAAACACTGAATACTCTGAGTTCACTAGAACCTTATTATTCCGGGATTGTGAGATAGAGTTACAATTGGTCGCTTTTAAGCACAAGGGAGCTATCCGAAAAATGCTGTTTTGAGAAAATTGAAGGTAAAGTTTTTGCGCCTTGTTTTTTTTTCTTTAAAAGACAAGGATAGTTTTTCTCTATAACCAAACAATTATACACACCAATGAAACCAAACTTCTCCTATAGGTAGGGCAATGCCCACTTTGGTTTAGGTCAAGATTTCTGGAAACACTCGAAATCTGGGTTAGCCCACTTGTCCTTAAAAGCAACCAACTTTGTTTATCTCTTCTCCCTCCAGAGATGTTGAACGAGGCTCCGGCACGTAAGAATGGGCTGGCAGAGTCCAGTGTGAAGCAGCTGACAGACATGGGTTTTCCAGAGAACCGAGCGAGGAAGGCACTGCTTCTGAATCAGTGAGTACTGGGTTGATAATTACAACTGTATCAGTGAGTACTGGGTCGATAACAACAACAGAATCAGTGAGTACTGGATTGATAATTACAACTGAATCAGTGAGTTCTGGATTGATAGTTACAACTCAGTGAGTTTGATCAGTGAGTACCGGATTGATAATTACAACTGAATCAGTGAGTACTTCATCGATGACTACAACTGAATCACTTAATCTATAATTACAACTGAATCAGTGAGTACTGGATTGATAACAACTGAATCAGTGAGTACTGGGTCGAGAACTACAATTGAATCAGTGAGTACTTAATCTATAATTACAACTGTATCAGTGAGTACTGGATTAATAACAACAACTGAGTCAATGAGTATTGGATGTATAACTACAACTGGATCAGTGAGTACTGGGGCGATCACTACTACTGGATCAGTGAGTACTTAACCTATGACAACTGAATCAGTGGGCGGTGGGTCGATAACATCAACAGAATCATTGAGAGTTTTTGTTCTTGTCCTAATCATTTCATTCACTCATGTACCTCAAAACTTAATGAATCAAATCACACAAAATTATGCCACCTGTGGTTAGTTAACTCTTTCACTACCGCGAGCTGTGTAAATCACTTTCGAAAACATCTCTTTACTCAAACTAAAAAAAATGGAGGTGATTTTTCTCTCTCTCTCTCTCCAGGCAGTCTGTGATGTCGGCCATGGACTGGTTGCTGACCAACGAGTCGGATCCCAACATAGATCAGCCACTGCCGGGGCAGGAGGAGCCAGAGCCTGAGGTGACCGAGGGGGAAGAGGGCATGACCCAGGGTACAGAGGGTTCCTCGGACGATCAGCTAGTGGGAGCCACCGGAGGGGCAGAGGGTCCGAGGTTCAAGAACATTCTGGAGACGATCAGGGCCTTCCAGAGAAGGGAGTTCAGGCCGAACCCAAGGGTAAGACGACCACTGGCTTGATTTTTATCTTCTGTCTGTTTGTTTTCTCCTTGTTGTTGTTGTTGTTGTTGTTCTTCCTCTTCTTCTTCTTCTTTTTCTTCTTCTTCTTCTTCTTCTTCTTCTTCTTCTTCTTCTTCTTCTTCTTCTTTTCTTCTTCTTCTTCTTCTTCTTCTTCTTCTTCTTCTTCTCCTCCTACTTCTCTTCTGCCTCCTGACTTTGTTTAACCCCAACGCCACAAAAACACTCAAACGGTTCTCCTAATGCTTTGATTGACAGACCTTTTATATCCTTTTGCTGTGTACATCTTTCTTATTTTCTGTTTTTGAAATTCTTTCAGGCTCTATAAAACTTACTGAAGTTGGAGGTTTAGATTTAATTTTGTTTTCTTTCAATTGTTTCAGGCTCTACAAAACCTCCTGGAGGCTGGATTTACAGTTGTTTTGGGTTTTTTTTGGGGGGGGGGTTCAATTCTTTCAAGCTCTACAAAAATGACAGGAGATGGGATTTAAGATTTTACATGTTGTTTTTTTAATTCTTTTAGGCTCTACAAAACTTACCGCAGATCGGATTTAAGATTTTATTTGGTGTTTTTCAATCCTTTCAGGCTCTACAAAACCTGCTGGAGATGGGGTTTGCTGAGAAGGAGGCAATCCACGCTCTCAGGGTGTCTAGGAATAGCCAGGACGCTGCTGTGAGTAAAGCAGAGATCTGTCACGCTTCCAGCATTTGTGTTGTTAGCACACACTGACCATCTCTATCTTGTAGTGCAAAAGTGGGCTGGTTATGGCCTAATGAAGGTTTCCGTCTATCCTAATAGTAAGGGTTTCTGTCTGGCCTTATGCCCCTCTATACTTTTATGTTATAATGTCCGGCTTAATGGGCTATACAGCAATTATTGCTTACATTCTTTCACACTCATTGCAAAAAGACGCTCCTCGACTGGAAGCAGGGAAGGGGGAGGGGTGGGGATTTGTGGAGGAGAGCAAACAATTTTTTAATTAATAGAAATTGCTACTGTAACTTGTAACTATTGCGAATGACCAAGGCAGATTTTGAAAGAAATCGAGGTCAGTTACATGAACAGGAATTGATGATTCCTAGGCCATGGTCTCCGTAAAGTTTGGGTTTGCAAATATGGCTTTGAGTGTTTGTTTGTTTTTTCTGTTTGTTTGTTTGGGTGTCCTATTGTGGCTTTGAGTGTTTGTTTTGGGTGTCCAATAATTGTGGCTTTGCTTTTTTAAATACTTATTTGGTGTCCAATTGTGGCTTTTTTGTTTGTTTGTTTGGGTGTTAAATTGTGGCTTTGTCTTTATGTTTGTTTGTTTGTCCAATTGTGGCTTTGCCTTTTTTTGTTTGTTTGGGTGTCCAGTTGTGGTTTTTTGTGTCTTTTTGTTTGTTTGTGTGTCCAATTGAGGCTTTGTCTTTTTTGTGTGTTTGGGTTTTGAATTGTGGCTTTCCTTTTTTTGTTGTTGTTTATTTGTTTGGCTGACCTATGGTGGCTTTGAATGTCTCTCTCAGTGTGACTGGCTGCTAAGTGACCGTAAGGAGAAGCCAGAGAGCGTTGACCAGGGCCTGGATGTCAATAGTCCCGTCTACAAGGCCATCCTGGCAAATCCGTCCGTCCAACTGGGGCTTAACAGTCCTCGGTGTCTGCTCGGTAGGCTGGGATTTTCTTTTCTTTATTTCTGTCTGTCGGTTTGTCTGTCTGTGTGTGTGTGTCGGTTTGTCTTTCTTTCTGTATCATGTATGTATGTGTGTATGTGTGTCTGTTTGTCTGGGTGTCTGTCTGTCTGAGTTTCTGTCCTTCTGTCTGTCTGTCTGACTCTCTGTCTATCTGTCTGTCTGTTTTGCTCTTTCCTAGTTCTGAATGTCTTATTGTTGCTGTGTTAATGTGCTTTTCTTCACTCAGACAAACTATAATTCTATTCCACCCACTTACATTCTCAGGGGAGGCTGAGGTTTAATTTTTTATTTGTTTTATTTCTAACATTGATCTGGTCTTATTGCTGTCCTTACGTGTAAATAATGAATGTATTGTTGTGCACGTTCTTCTTTATGTGGTTGAACTGGTTTTTCTTGTTACTGTGAAATGTTTTATCTTGTGTAAATGGCTCAGTGATCATGTGATTGATGTAAAACGCTCAGAGTTTATACTACTATGGGATAGAGCGCTATATAAATGCAATCTATTATTATGATTATCTGTGTTAGTGCAGGCTTCTAAGGTGTGTATATATATTTACAACACAATTTACTTTCATCAAGCGAGTGGCTGTAGGGTATTACTTGTAGGTTCTTCTTTTTTTCCTCACAGTTGTTGTTTCTGTCAGTCTGTCTGTCTGTCTGTTTTATTTGAAGAGGACTTTTGGTTTCTGCTGCTGTGGACTATATGACCAATTCTGGCGGAAAAGAGTTTTCAACATTTTGAGCGTTTAAAAACTTCATTTCCACTCGTGGACAGGCACAGCTTTTGGGTTTCCCTTTTGGCTTCAGCATTTCTAATTTGTGAAGCCTCGAGAAAACCTATAATATAAATAACATAAATTGTAAAGCGCGTTGAGCTTGCTGTTGAGTGAGAATTTGTGTTATACAAATGCTATTTATTATTATTTTGGTATTATTTATACAGTATAACATGAATAGCTCGTATTCATTGCGGACTGGCTTCGGTAGTTCAAGGGATCCGTAATTCGAAGGATATCTTTCAAATATAAAAAAATAAAAAAACAGGACCGCAGGCACCGTTCGATAGATGCATAATTTCGAGTCTTCTGTGTTCAACCTATCCGTGTTATACTGTGTGGTTGAACTGGTTTTTCTTATTACTGTGAAAGGTTTTATCTTGTGTAAATGACTCAGTGATCATGTGATTGATGTAAAACGCTCAGAGTTTATACATAATCCACTTTCATCAACAGCCTTCCTGCAGATGCTGGAGAACCCCATCAGTGCTAGTCAGTGGCTCAATGACCCTGAGACCGGCCCTCTCCTCATGCAGATCTCACGAATCTACCACTCGGAGAAATTCACTCCCTTCTGTCCAGGCGGAGGTACCGATACAACCGAGATCAGCTGAGGTCTCTGTGGACGGCGGGGTAGACATTAGAGCCATGGACATCTTATCCTCACTGGAAAAATAAAAGGCAAAAGAGTCCAGAGAGACTAATCGCTGCCTCAGAATTACCAAGCTCTATCTGACATTTTTGACCGTTTCGAGTTACGAAGACTATGAGCTCAAAAATAAGTTCTCTATCTTCCTGATCAAAATTGTAAGGGTATTTGGAGGCGTGGTCAAGATATTCAAAGAATTGCATTTGGAAAAGCTTAACATGTTGTGAAACTCAAAAATTTTGATGTCAAATTTCTCAAAACTAGATACTGAGCAGATTGAACTTCGTAATTCTGAATAGTGTAATAGTACCTTAATAGGAGGAGAATTTGCTCTGAATGGAAAAAGAAATGGCAAAAGAGGCTGGGGAGGCTAATGGTAACTTAATGGGAGTGCTCTGAATGGAAGAATAAATGGCAAAAGAGGCAGAGATAGACCAAGTATAACTTACTTACAGAACTTTAAACAGGTGGGTGATGGGAAAAGATGAGAAATACTACACAGGTTTTTTGAGAGCATCTGAGCAGGAAAATTAATGTCGAGCCATGATTTGCCAATGTCTGTGTTCTGATCTGGCGCTTGATTAAAGAAAAAAGAAGAAGCTGAGGACTGGTCAGATTGTCGGAGCCACTTGTTGCGTGTGTTGGCACAGTCAACTTTTATTGTACTCAAATTGTTTTTTGTTGTTCGGCCTTGTTCCTCTGCCCGGCTATGAAGAGTTTGGAGATTGTGGGATGTTTTTAGAAGGTTTTGTTGGTGGTTGGCAGATGCTCTGATGTGGTTTGCTTCTTCTGTCCTATCAAACAGCTATCGTTCGTATCTCTCCTCTTGTTCTTTTTTTTAGTTTGTTACTCTCTTGTTAACACCTCTACTCTTCGGCCGTTATATAACTTTATTGTGTTGTAAGTGCTGTAAAACTCGTACTAACTTAAAGAGGAGGTTTTGCTGTTGGTATTCCTGTAACAGAATATGGGAGCCCTCATGGTGCTGAGAATGTTGGTTTGTGTTAGGAAAGAGATGGGTGCATATTCTGTACGTCATCTGTAAATTTGCAAATGTTTGTGATAGTGAAGAGATGTATAGGATATTTGGTGGGGGGGTTTTCTGACTTAACAAATGTTTGTTATGGTGAAGATATTTATGGATATCTTGTGTGCACTCTATATTATTTGCAAATTTGTGTTGGTAATTTAAAAAAGAAAAGATATGGATATTTTGTGGGTGTACTGTATTTGTGATACGGAACAGATACATGAATATTTTGTGTGAAATCTGTATTGGCCAACTATTTGTCTGTGATAGGCAAATGTTTGTTTGTGATGCAGAACAGATGGGTTCATATTTTGTATGTTGTCTGTGGTAGCAAAAAATGTTTGTGATATAGAGATTAGATTTATCTGAAATGATACGGGCTGATTATATCCAAGTAGTTGAATGGCGCCTCTACAGGTCCTACTTCTTTTTTCTCCCTCTGTTGTTTCTGTCTATCTGTCTTGCTTTTTCTTGTTTAATAAATGATTGTTATTGTATCAGTGTGCCTGCCTTTACTCAAACAAACTTTTGTTTTGTCCCAGATTTTGAATGTGGGTGGTTAGCAGGTGCTCTTGTGTGGTTTGCTCTTTTTTTCCTATCAAACATCTTATCGTCCTGATCTCTCCCCCTTCTTTTTTGTGTTTGTTACTCTCTTGTAACGCCTCTAATCTTTGGCACTTAAATAACCTTATTGTGTTTCAAGTGCCGTAAAACTCTTACTAAAACTAAACTAAAGACCTTTAATGTTTGGAGAGTATCCATGTCTGTCCTGCCACTTTGTTCAGCCCTGGCAGGGATGGATATTGTTACCTCAGTGATTTTTTACACAGTTAAACTTACTGAATTTGAAAATGCATTGAACTTATTCAATACCGGAGTTGTTGTTGGGGTTGGGTTTTTTTATGTTGTTGTTGTTTTAAGTATGGTCTTGTATATATGAGTATTTATCTTGAACATGAGGTGATATGTTTTGTACGTCTTGTGATGGGTGGGGGGGGGGGGGGCAAAACCTAGGATGGTACAGGTTTTTTGAGTGTCTAAGCAGAGAAGTGACATGTCTGTTTAATATCTGGCACTTGAAGTTTGAAGAAGAAAAAAATGAGACTGATGTCATCTTGCTTGTTTTTATGCACAGTGTATTACTTACTTTTCTTTTTTTTAGATTAAATTAAATTAGAAATACAGATCATATATTTTTTTCTATTATATTTCTGAGTATTAGATACCTTTCATATTGTGAGTAAATTGCACCTCATCATTTGGACATAGTCACCAATTGTGTCGTGACGCAATCTAATCATTAGGTTCTCATCTATTTTTGGGCATGTTGAGTTATTGGTATCATCTGAAAGCTTATTCGTTTGTCTTGCTTTCTATTCTTATAAATCCATTTTGAATAGATTAGAAGTTGAGATATTTGCGATTGAATGAGGTGGGGGTCGCTGGGTTTCAGAGGTAAAATAAGTGCGAAAATGGCCGCCAAATTTTGGTAGGTTTTATAGCTTGAGAGTACTTGAAAACTAAATATTTACATATTTTGTGCCATTAGTCAACTTTTTTCTGTAAAATTCATGTGGAAATGTGTTTTTATATATGGACATAAAAGGTGTTGAGCCCCCCCAAAAAAGAAACATTTGATTAAAAAATTGCCAGACTGGAGAAAAAATGCCTTCTTCTTCGATTTCCTAATTTTGAGGAATGCCTGATTTCACCACGATGCCTCACAACTGTACATAGACAATCTCAGGAATAGTCTCACTTGTTTTAAAATTAACTGAAATATAACAGCAGACCACTTCAACTCAAATTTGGCATTAGTAAATAGATAGCTGAAGAAGAAAAACACTTGAAAAGATATGATGCACACTTTTTTAGAGATGGTGTATTTGGCCGCGCTTTACAACTAAGTAAGAAAAAGCCGAAAGTTGATACATTTTTATATTAAAAATTTTGCCTTTTTGTATCTGACTTTATCAACTCTTCTTATAGTATAGAGAGGCTGTTGGTCTTATCGTTGATGTGATTCAGATGAAACGTACATAGTACAGTGGAATCCGCTTAAACCGAACAGTGTTAATCCGAAAGAAGAAAGTAAAATCTTGGTTTTTTTAACCAAACTGTTATTCTAAAAACCGTGTATGCCGAAAGAAAGTAAAATCCTCTTTTTTTTTCTTTTTTTTAAGGGGGGGTTCTATTTGAACAACTTCTCTAAACTGAATTGTCGGTGGTTTGCGGGTGCTCTGGTGTGGTCGGCTCCTTCTTTCCTTTCAAGTATCTATTGTCCTTGACTCTCCTCCTAGTTTTTAAAAAAATGTTTGCTACTCTCTTGTATGTAACACCTCTAATCTTCAGCATTCATAAGACTTAACTGTGTTGCAAGTGCCATAGATGGTGGGGGGAAAGAAAGTTACACGGTGCGGTGAAATGAATTGTGAAATGTGGTGGCCAATTTTTTGTTTCCGATCTGGCACATAAAGAAGGTGGGTGGTTGGAGGGCACCACTGGCAGGTCCTACTTTTTTACTTACCCTCTGTTTTTTTCTGTTTGTCTGTCTTACTTTTTCCCAGCACTAAAATAACCATTGTTGTGTCGATGCACTTTTCTTGAATCAATGAATTAAAAAAATTTGAAGAAGTAGAAGCTATGGATAAAAGAGGATTAAATTGTGTTTGTCCGTGATGATTTTACTTGCATAAATTATTGTTTATTAATAATGTTATGTAGGCATATATCTGCATGCTTTTGGGTTCTTGTAATGTATTGTGGTTTGGTGTAGATCTAAGTGGTGTGTGTGTACGTGCATGCGTGTGTGTTTGTGTGAGTATGTATGTGCGTACATCTCTGCATGCTGCAATACACTTCTTATAATAAAAGGTAACATGCAGCTATCAATACTATCATCTTTTTCTTTGCTTTGTTTCCTACTCCCAGTCCCACACGCATTCTCATTTACAAAATGTATTAGTAGAGGACAGTGTTAAACAAATGATGTCTCTCTCTCTGTCTCTCTCTCTCTGTCTCTGTCTGTCTCTGTCTCTCTCTCTCTCTCTCTCTCTCTCTCTCTCTCTCTCTTTTTCTCTCTCTCTCTCTCTCTCTCTCTCTCTCTCTCTCTCTCCTGTCAGACGTCGTTGTACGAAGGCTACCGCCCAACCCCCACCCCCATTATACCGCCAGCCCCGCTTACTGCCAGATTTTGCCAAAGTACGAAAAGGAACGCCTATATAAACATAGTATTTACATCCTCACACCGCCTCCCGCTATCCACCAACTTTTGTCTTGAGTTTTGCAGTCCTTATTAAACTAATGTAAATCTGCCCCGCTGTACCGCCAGCGAATTGGTCGCCAGAGGTATGTAACACACTACACACAGAGCATAGCACCCACACAGTGGCTGCTGGGTAATCAGAATCTTTCCAACACACGTCTCTGCAAGCTTGGCCTACTATTTCTAAGCGCTTGTCTATCCTCTCTTGATTTGAGATGATTATGAAATGTTAGAATTTTAAGACGTTGTCCAACATTTTTTTTTCAAAATTTGGAATAAAGTTTTAAAGTCGCCTGGAGAAACGTTTAAGAAGTTGCGCCAGACTGCCCTGAACATCAATAATTTATTTATAGAGGCACCAGCCATCCATGCCCTGGTGCTGTTTTAGCGGCTTAGCCGCCTCCCAGAGAGCAATATAATAATGATATCTGGCGTCGCCAGGTATCGGCCCAATGGCAAAAAAAGCTGGTGGGCGCCTGTGAGGCTTTTATTACATTGTGAGGATTCGCGCTCAAATCTACATGATATGATAGGCCTAAAGCGGCCCAAGGACTAAAGAGTATCGTGGGGAAGGGGGGGGGGTGTACTCTGCCCAATTCTATCATCTGGCGCTTTTGTGTTTAGTAATAACAAAAAGTGTGCAGCATTTTGGATTTTGAAATGAGCTGTTAATCTTAAAGTAAACACAGGAGAATGTTTTATATAAATAAATGATTAAATAAATATATTACTTCACTCTTATATCGTTTATTACTAAGTTACACATCTAAGTGTTGCCATAGCCCTAACAGGAGATGGTTACAACAACTGGTTAGTAGTTAATTGTTTAGATCATGTTGGTCCTATATTCCTCAGCTCTTTCGAAAGGGTTAAAACAAAAACAACACACGTAGACTACGTCTACAGGGTCCTTGACACAATGACATAGAGCCTAGCTTCTGACACTCTGAACCTAGCTTCCTTCTATTTGAAGTTGCATTAAGTTTTACGAGAGCTGTACAATTGGGGTTGGGGGGGGGGGGGGGCGCTGGTTTGTTTTGTTTTGGTTTTGCATGTTTTTTTAATTTTGTTTGTTGGGGTTTTTAAAAGTTAAATTTGGTATCTCATTCGTACTCCTTGTCTAATTGCGATTTGAAAACATACCAGATACAACAGAAGTTGACTGAAATTCCTCAGTTCTCAAGAAATTACAAAAACAGACCTGTTGTGTGCCCTCATTTGACCCC